ATTCTTCTACCCACAGTCCCCCACACACCCCCTCTACTCACATTCTCACACACAACTCCTCTACCCACATTCCCCCACACACCTCCTCTACCTACATTCTCCCACACACCTCCTCTACCTACAGTCCCCCACACACCTCGTCTACTCATAGTCTCCCACTCAATTCCTTTAATAACAGGCTGTCACACACAAACCCCATTAACTAACCCCCACACAAACCCCACTAACAACATAATCTAATATATAAAGCTCAGTTCTGTATGTAACGCATATGTCGTTGGTCTTGGATGGATTTAAGTGTTAGACAATTATCGTGAGCATTTGTCTAAATTTATGAGTTAAAAAATTACTATTGAAAGTTTTGGGAAATAATTTTCATTTTTCAAATTATAGTAATAATTGTCGGCATGTTCATTAAACACAAGTTTTAAAAAAATATCATCTTTTACAAAAATTCTAATTATGTCTTTATTTAGCCCTATAGCATTTACTTCCCTTTGATAAATTAGGAAAACACAATTACTTCCCTATATAAAACCATTGCATTTTGTGGAAAAGAATTTACTTTTTAATTACTTTGTTTTGGTGTTGGGAAAAAATAATTTCATAATTAGCGGGGATTGATCAAGTGCAAATGTTGTAGGTATTTTACGGATAAGCTTGGAGTATTAAAATTGTTCATTAAATTGAAACAGGCGCGTTCGTTTAAGTGAGTGCAAAAGACTATGAATAAGTTGGGGTACTATAGTCGTTTATTAAGCTAAAACAGGCGATTCCGTTGGGTTTGCGTTAGTGGTTGCGGTTTGATTTGGTTCGTTTTTGTTCTTTCTTTTTTCGTTTTTGTTTTTGTTTTTTTCTTTGGGTTTGTATTTATGTTTGTGGTTAGTTTTGCGTTTGGATTTGGTTTGTTTTCGTTTGCTTTTTCGTTTTTTTTGTGTGTTGTTATTGGTTGGTATTGGTGGTTGTGGTTGTGGTTGGGTTTGTTGTTAGGTTTTTGTTTTCGTTTGCTTTTTTGTTTTTTCTTTGTGTTTGTATTGGTGTTTGTGGTTGTGGTTGGGTTTGTTGTTAGGTTTTTGTTTTCGTTTGTATTTGTAATTGTGTTAGCGTTATGTTTGCGTTTTGTTGCTTTGGTTTTGGTTGGTTATGGTTTGGGTGGGCAATGCCTGGTTTATGATGATTACTAAACACACAGGTGATGGTCTTTAACAGAAAGGTTTGTCACAGAAGCCAGAGCAGGGCCTGGCCGGGACGGCTAGTCCCTTTATATAACGAGAACATAGAAACATAAACTTTATTTTCTCTTCTTTTAGAATTAAAATTAATACACTTCTATACACACAACTACAAATACACTAAAAATAACTTTTTTCATATTTATTTTTAAAAAAGGCTTTTTGATTTAATGATTAAAAAACTCAAAACAAATTTTTAAAATACACAAACATTTAATCATAGGTGTGTAACTATTGTATTTAAAATGGTCTAAAATGCCAGCTTGGTTCGGCGTGGTCGAGTCGGTATAGCTCATGGTGGCTAAACAGATAAGTCTCGAGTTCAAACCCTGTAGCAGATGAGGCTCGATAGCTGGGGGACATCAACTCTTCTATGAGAGACAACTCCAAAATTAAACACAGCCAAATGGCGCGTAACATGTTGACACGTAACACTTAATTGTGATGGAGGAAATTACGTCCAACAATACATATAAAAACAAAGAAGAAAAAAATTCATAAAAAACGTTTTAATAACAAGCTTTTATGTAATGATGCACTAAAAAGTAGAAAATAAATTATAGACTACTATTTAAATAACTATAAAGAAAAGCGTGGGTCACTTTAGTATCTATTGGATACCTTTACTAATGTTAAGGAAGACACCCACGCTTTTCTTTATAGTTATTTAAATAGTAGTCTATAATTTATTTTCTACTTTTTAGTGCATCATTACATAAAAGCTTGTTATTAAAACGTTTTTTATGAATTTTTTTTTCAGTACTTTACATGTTTTATTTACAATAGAGTTACATGACTAAAAACCATTGCGCGCCTACTGAACATCACGTTCAGTAGGTGCGCAATGGTTTTTGAACGCAGCCATTACGTGATGGCGCAGCTATTGAAGGTGATGACGCGTGTGGTGTGGTTGGCTAGACATGCCTACTAATTCGGTCCAAATTTTAATTAATTCATAAAAAATTAATTAGGCATCCAATTAAGTCAAATTTAGTTTCAGATTGCATTGTCTTCATGTCTTGACTAACGTGCCAACTGTGAATCGTATCGGTCAAGTAGAACTGTCCGAATTTTCACTTGTTTAAATACTTATTATTATAGCGGCCCACGCTTTTATTTATAGTGATATAAATAGTCTTGCATTAATATATTTAAAGAAAGTATTTTTTTATATTTAAATTAACCGCAGATTTATTATATTTTTAAAAAATTATTTTATGATACACAATTTGAAAAACGGTTTTGCTTTAATAATATGATTAGTTTTACTATACGTGACACTTTAACTGATGTTTTAGTTACAATCCAAAAATTGCCACAATTAGCTGAACACATATCATACAACACAAATCTTTAACACTTCTTTAACCGAAGACATTAATACTGTTCAGTCTGCAATCAAGTTTATAGCTAAAGTTTCAGTAAAGTATTATGAGATGGCATAGTCTATTGGTAAAGAACTAGACTGCTGACCCAACTAAAAAACCATGCGTGCCTATTGAACGTGATGACGCGCTTTTGTCGTAGATGCCCCCCCCCCCCAATCGCTCCACGCCCAAGACAGCCGTGATGACGCGTGTGGATAGAACTGCCTACTGATTCGGTCCAAATTTTTATTAATTCATAAAAAATAATTAAGCCAGTTTGAATGTCACAATTCATTGTCTTCATCTCTTGATCTGCCGGGGCGCTACCCCTGCGAATTTGAATTTTTTTTTCCGCAGAAACCTCCCCAGGGATATTCATAGCAACTTTCCAAAGTTTCACGGCGATGTGATGAGAGGTGTAGTAATGCATACAAGACAGACAGACAGACACACACACACACACACACACACACAAACATACATTGCTTTATATATATATATATATATATATATATATATATATATACAATGGGTTGTTTCCCTTGAAGTGACCTAGGTGTATGTTTCTCATCACAACAATCATACACATCGTGTTATGTAATCACGTGCCACCACACGTGGTAATATTTGAAGCAATGCCAGACTATCCACTGCTCTAGCATCTACGCTTGATTCTCTAACGTCTACTACCTTAATTATAAGTGCTGGTGTTGTTCAGGGGAAACTATAGAACGTTTTAAAACGGTTAAGATCATATCATGGCCTCCAAGATGTCGCTAATTATGTGTAACATCTCATTAAAGCAGTCTTGTGCGACTAGAGGCATTTTAAATAACATGATGTCAGCATACTAAAATAAGATTGCTATAAACATCAATTACACAGAAACAAGAAACAAAGTTTTTTTTTTTTAAATTATTTTGTTATTTATTTTCTTGCTTTGATGTGGCGAATTTTCAATTTTATAAATGTTATAATGGTTATCGAAAGAGGATGTGATTTCTTGATTAGGTCTAAATTTGCTATTATTTCTTAAATCTGTCTAAGCATCAATAAACCAAATTCTCTCTCTATTCTGTGTAGATTTACCAACCCACCACATTCTCTCTCTACCTTGGGTAGATTTACCAACCCACCAGATTCTCTCTCTACTTTGGGTAGATTTACCAACCCACCACATTCTCTCTCTACCTTGGGTAGATTTACCAACCCACCACATTTTCTCTCTATTCTGGGTAGATTTACCAACCCACCACATTCTCTCTCTATTCTGGGTAGATTTACCAACCCACCACATTCTCTCTCTATTCTGGGTAGATTTACCAACCCACCACATTCTCTCTCTACCTTGGGTAGATTTACCAACCCACCACATTCTCTCTCTACCTTGGGTAGATTTACCAACCCACCAGATTCTCTCTACCTTGGGTAGATTCAACAACCAACCACATTTTCTCTCTACCTTGGGTAGATTTACCAACCCACCAAATACTCTCTCTACCTTGGGTAGATTCATCCAACGAGCTGATCCGTTCACCAGTTCAGCGAATGTTTGTTTTATCACCCACAGTAGCCCTATAAAGTCTTTCAGCTACCGATGGCTACCGGAGTCCTAGGCGTTCTTTTCATGCCTTTTCAGGAATTCATTCAATCTATACGGAGGTGAGGTCTAGAGATTTCCTTCGTCAAACAGATCCCCTGGTATCTCTACAGACCTTTGGGCAGGTCTTCTATACACGCAGCCTATCGTCTTGTGCTAGCCGATGTTTAGACTCGAGTTCATGTGCTGGATTTTATTTTCTTAACTCTACTGGCTTTTGCGGAATAGGTGAGTTGTGTACAGGTTTGTATGCTTAATTAAAATGAGTTGTGAAGAGTTTGGTATGTCTAGTTTAGTTAAGTTGTGTAGAAGTTGTTAAAAATGTATTGTAAAATATAGAAATGTAAATTATATGCAAGTAAACACTAATTGGGTTTGTGATAAGAAAACATAATGAAATTTATCGTATGTTATATTGTGTATTCAGCGTTTGGCTTTCATTAATGTGAGACAATGGTATTACTCTCCTGTGTCTATTTATATATTTTATAAGTAATCTGCCAGAGAGAGCGTCTTGTATCTAATATGATTAAAGACTAGCATTGACACAGATATTTAGATAAGTAACTCAAATTTGTAGACACTAACTTTTAAAAATATTTTCATGTGACAAGAAACGTCATTTTATAGGTTATTTAAGTGAGAAGCTTGTTTTACAGATTGATTAGCTGAAGTCGTTGACCAAAATGTTTGCCTGAACATTTTCTCTGATTTATTCCTACAGGTAGATGGCTGGTACCTGTCCAACAACAGGTAGCTGCTCCACCACCAGGTGGCGTGCTGTATTCCTATGGCGCTCTCTGTAACTCTAGCAACGGTTTTCGTGTGATCTCTAGCGGTGACGTCAGCGTATGTGTTTACATCTCGACTGTGTTAAAAAACTACACGGATGCCAGGAAGGATTGTCAAGGTAGTTTCCGTTCTACAAGACTTTGTTTTCCCTTGTGCTTTTTGTAAACGTGTCTATGTTGGTCTAAGTGATATTTATATGATGTGTCAATGATTAAGTAACTTTGACAGACAGAAATTTTGGGCAGAAATGACCGATTTTTATCTTACATGTTTTGGCACATTTTATAAAAAGTATAATTAGGACAAGACGAAGAGAATAAACGCATCCTCGGAGACTTGTCCGACATGACCCTTGGTGGATAAAGTTTGAGAAGGGCCCTGAGCTGCTGCCCTCTCAGCCGTCCCCTTGATCCGCCGCTTGGCAGGATTATTGAGGGCAAGAAGACCTGTCTTATTTTTGGGCCTGTTCCTGTAGCGTCGGCTGTGTAAATTGTTATTATTATTATATTGTTTATTTGATATTGAAGTTTGTATTTATATTACAAGCTGATTTACATTTTTAGCATTGTGCAGCTGTATCTAATACATGCATTATGATTAATTATTTTTACATTGTATATATTACGCCTAAGTTCATCATTACAGATAGAAAAACCCATTTGTATACCCCAAAAAAACGAAGATAAGTTGAATATTTTCTTGACACTTGGGAAAACATACAATCAATCTATGTGGTGTGGTGCCAACGACATTGCGAGTGAGAATGTGTTTAGGTGGGAGGATGATGGCACCATCATCACTCAGACCTGGAGGTCGGCCATGTTTGAACCAGGTAAGCAAGACGTCTTTAAGAAACTGATCTGTGTTTTTACTGTAAGCAGTCGTAAATCCGATTGGTAAATGTGTTCTATTTTAAAAACGTGTATCAAATTCTGTGTTTAAAAAATTACCTTAAATCTGAAAAAAATCAAATCAGCTGATTTATTCCCTTTACTCACGTGTGTCACTTTTCTTGTTTTGTGTGCACTATATGTTTTCTTGAAACATTTTATATACATATATACATGTCTACATTACCATTTAGATATTGCTATAAATGGTTGTAGCCTAGCCGATAAGGCCTACTGTGTCTATATTTGTCCACAATAGTGTGCACTATCTTCTTCTTCGTTCTTAATTTTTTCTGTTGGAAGGGATCAAGCCTTATCTGCCAGAGGGTTCGAACTCGAGACTTTTTTTTCGAATTTATCAACCATGAGCTTTTTGCCGACTCGACAACTGGTCGTTGAGGCCATTGACTCCGATTTTAGCCGCTTTTCTTTTTGGCTTTGCTTCCATAGCCTATGTCCAACAAAGAACAAACTACAAGGCAGTAGTTATTTAATTTTGGAGTTGTCTCTTCTAGAAGAGCCTCATCTGCCCGAGGATTCAAAGTCGAGACTTTTCGGTTTAGCAACCATGAGCTTTACCGACTCGACCACGCCGACCCTGTGAACATTATTACTGTGTACATTTATGAACATGGTATTTCTCCACATTAGCATGTATGTTAAAAACAAAAAACCACACCCCTTATTTATTTCCACCAGGACAACCCAGCAACACAAACGGCAGACAAAACTGTGTAGGTTACACAAAGTATAGCCTGCTAGATGACGACTTCTGCGACCTGCTCGCCATGTACGTGTGTGAGATGGCTTAGACATTGGCTCTTGGACAAATGTTTTAGGAGTTCATTTTGTTCACAGAAATAAACCTAAGCAAAATTATTGTGTTCCTCAATTTTTAGAATACTATTAAACCACCCGTTTTCTTTGATCAATGTTGAGGTAATTTGTATTTATAACTGAAATGAAACTTTGATGCCTAAACTTGTATAAAGCATTGTTTTACATGTATTCAAATATATCCTTTTGCCCAAAGCGTTACGGGGTTCGGAGGGGAAGGGGAGGGTTGCAGTCATCAGCAGGTGACACCATTTAGGGGGTGCACCATTTAGGTGGTGATACCATTTAAGGGGTGACACCAGATCGAAAAATTCGTATAACGTAATTTAAAAACAATGTTTTATTTAGTTATGCAAAGGTAGGACTGTGGAGCAATAATAAAGGGGCGACAACAGAGGGGCAACATGAGAGGGGCAACAGCGAACCAAAAATACAATATCGTAGAGGGAGGAAGGGGTGACACCCTCTGTTACCACACCTGGTGACACCCTCTGTTACCACACCTAGTGACACCCTCTGTTACCACACCTACTGACACCCTCTGTTACCACACCTACTGACACCCTCTGTAACCACACCTAGTGACACCCTCTGTTACTACACCTAGTGACACCTGACAAAGTGAGGCAACTGATTGATACACGGTTTATACCAAGAGCCTCTTCGTTATTGTATTATGATATAGATAACAAGCCGAGATTAACAGTGCATTGGGCAGGTAAAGTTGAGCTCTCCTGTTTTTATGAACTCGGCATATGAAGTAATTGTGTGGTCAGCATTATGTCAAGTCGCCTTTACCTTTGTCAGTTGGAGTCAGGTACTCATCTCAGCTGGGTGAACTCAGGGACTTCCTCTCAACACAAACCCGGGACTCAAGATTTATCTAGCAATCCTGTTCTCTACCACCCGACTATGGCGTCAGCTACAAGCAGGTGGACACTATCAGACATACATCTTGTAACAGAACTCGAGACTTTGGACTTTAAGTGAACATGACCAGAAGATCCCATAAGTCTATGTTTCAACACACACATTTAGATCTAGCTGAACATATTTAACATCACGAACAACACAAGCCTATATAGCAACTGTAGTAGGGAAAACAATTCATGTTGGATGGGGATTCTAGGGTAGTATCTAGTTTAATACATGTCATTTTTTTATCCATGCCTCTTTGTTTTATTGCATCCACACTAGAAGTTGACTGTTTCTGATTTTCACAAAGTGTTGGTCTCTTTTGTTGTCACAGTGGCTGACAGATTTGCTTCAGAACAGTATTCGTCAGGATGTGTTATCAGTTGCTTCCTATCATTATATAAAGATTCCGACCACAGTTTTCCTGTAACACAATATAAAATAAACCAATAACATAAGGGTTCAATATAAAAGTGACGCCTCAAAACAACGTTTGTTACAGAACGTTTAACCTGAACAGACCTAGATGGGTCATGAAGCCGAACCTCCATCACACACTTTTATTCCATCAGTGGCGGAGGTTTAATAATATTGTGTACACATAAAAACATATATAGCTCAATTCACTATGTAAAAATAAGTTTGTTTGTTTGTCGTTGACATACTTCGATGAATTTAAGTGCTCATAGTCTAAATTTATGAGTTAAAAATTACTATTGAAAGTGTTGGGAAATAATTTTCATTTTTCAAACTGATAGTAATAATTGTCGGCATGTTCATTAAACATAATTTAAAAAAATAACAAAAATTCTAATTATGTCTGAAAAATATTTATATTTAGTCCTTTAGCACTTACTTCCCTTTGATAAATTAAGAAAACACAATTACTTCCCTTTATAAAACATTGCATTAGTGGAAAAGAATTTACTTTTTATTATTTTGTTTTGGTGTTGGGAAAAACAAATTACATAATTAGCGGGGATTGATCAAGTGCAAATGTTGTAGGTATTTTACGAATAAGCTTGGAGTATTATAATTGTTCATTTGGTTTGGTTTGGCACCAACGTTCGTTTAAGTGAGTGCAAAAGACTATGAATAAGTTGGGGTACTGTAGTCGATTATTAAGCTGAAACAGGCGATTCTGCCCCGCGCTAGACTGTGAGCACTTTGCGTTAATGTTCGCGTTAGTGTTTTCTTTGTGTTTAGGTTGGGTTTGCGTTAGTGGTTGCATTTTGATTTGGTTCGTTTTTGTTCTTTCTTTTTTTTTTTCGTTTGTGTTTTTTTTTCTTTGGGTTTGTGTTTGTATTTGTGTTTGTGGTTGGTTTTGCGTTTGGATTTGGTTTGTTTTCGATTGCTTTTTCGTTTGTTTTTTTCTTTGGGTTTGTGTTTGTGGTTGGTTTTGCGTTCGGATTTGGTTTGTTTTCTTTTGCTTTTTCGTTTGTTTTTTTCTTTGTGTTCGTATTGGTGTTTGTGGTTGTGGTTGGGTTTGTTGTTAGGTTTTTGTTTTCGTTTGCTTTTTTGTTTGTTTTTTCTTTGTGTTTGTATTGGTGTTTGTGATTGTGGTTGGGTTTGTTGTTAGGTTTTTGTTTTCGTTTGTATTTGTAATTGTGTTAGCGTTATGTTTACGTTTTGTTGTATTGGTTGGTTGTGGTTTGGGTGGGCAATGCCGGGTTTATGATGATTACTAAACACACAGGTAACGGTCTTTAACAGAAAGGTTTTTCACAGAAGCCAGAGCAGGGCCTGGCCGGGACGGCTAGTAATATATAAAGCTCAATTCTGTGTGTAAAGTGTAAAAAGTTTGTCGCGGATACTTTGATAGATTTAAGTGTTAGGTTATTAAAGTCCTTATGGTCTAAATTTGTGTGTTCAAAAATTAATATTGAAAGTGTTAGGAAATAATTTTCATTTTTTAAAACTGAAAGTGATAGTTGTCGGCATGTTCATAAATTGATAAATTATGAAAACACAACTACTTCCCTTTATAAAAAACATTGCATTAGTGGAAAAGAATTTACTTTTTATTGCTTTGTTTTGGTTTTGGGAAAAAAAAATACATAATTAGCGGGGATGGATCAAGTGCAAATGTTGTAGGTATTTTACGGATAAGCTTGGAGTATTATAATTGTTCATTAAATTGAAACGGGCGCGTTCGTTTAAGTGAGTGCAAAAGACTATGAATAAGTTGGGGTAATATAGTCGTTTATTAAGCTGAAACAGGCGATTCCGCCCCGGGCTAGACTTTGAGCACTTTTCGTTTATGTTCGCGCTAGTGTTTTCTTAGTGTTTAGGTTAGGTTAGGTTTGCGTTAGTGGTTGCGTTTTGATTTGTTTCGTTTTTGTTCTTTCTTTTTTCGTTTTTGTTTGTGTTTTTTTCTTTGGATTTGTATTTGTGTTTGTGGTTGGTTTTGCGTTTGGTTTGTTTTCGTTTGCTTTTTCGTTTTTTTTTTCTTTGTAATGGTATTGGTGTTTGTGGTTGTGGTTGGGTTTGTTGTTAGGTTTTTGTTTTCGTTTGCTTTTTTTCTTTGAGTTTGTATTGTTGTTTGTGGTTGTGGTTGGGTTTGTTGTTAGGTTTTTGTTTTCGTTTGTATTTGTAATTGTGTTAGCGTTATGTTTGCGTTTTGTTGTTTTGGTTTTGGTTGGTTGTGGTTTGGATGGGAAATGCCGGATTTATGATGATTACTAAACACACAGGTAATGGTCTTTAACAGAAAGGTTTTAAACAGAAGCCAGAGCAGGGCCTGGTCGGGACGGCTAGTATATATATATATATATATATATATATATATATATATATATATATATATATATATATATATATATATATATATATATATATATATATATATATATATATATATATATATATTATATATATATATATATATATATATATATATATATATATATATATATATATATATATATATATATATATACTCCAGAAATTAGACTTAAAACAGAGGCAGAAGCTAATTTCTATCACCTGTCCTGACATTTAAATTCCATCTAAATGTAATTGTTTTTACAAATTATTTGTAAGATAAAAAAATAATCCTTACATTATGTAACAATCTCTATAACAGCCATGCCTACATTTGAGACGTTCTTTTTGGTTGCTTGTGAGATAGTAGAATTTTCATACACACGACGGTGTTGTCCACAGTATGAGTCAGTTTGGTTGATACTCACCAAGAAATAGAACGTATTTTCCTCTAGATATATCTTCCGTCGAGACAATTGCGCTATAAGTATATTACGTTAACATTTTCTTGAATAGATAAGATATTGAATAAAATATAAATTTAAACAGCAAAATTTAAAATACATTACTTAATGCAAACGCATTAGAATATTCAGTTCAATCAATATGATACACACTATACATTTGCATACAATCTATAGATCATAACATAATTGAAGCGTTCTATGCTTCCATAAAAATTTCAAACAAATTATCTAAAAGAAATATCTTTTGTTCCTTCAATGGTGTTAACACTGAGCATGTAAGATTTCAGGACGTTGACTGGTGCTAGCTAATACAGCAAAGAAAGAATTCTATCCAACCGGATGGTCTAAGGGGCAGATAAAGCAACTGAGTCAAATTTTTGCCTGTCGAGAGTTGTCGACAGACCTAAGGAAAGTGAAACAAATCATTTTAAAACAAATGTATTTAAAGATGTATTTAATGATAATTTAATATTAAAAAATACTGATTTAATTTAGGTACATATGAGTGTTGTAGAAATTAAGAGCAAATAGTAAACATATTATGGTGGTATAAAATAAGAACACATATTAAACATATTATGGTGGTATAAAATAAGAACACATATTAAACATATTATGGTGGTATAAATTAAGGACAGTAAACATATTATGGTGGTATAAATTAAGGACATATAGTAAACATATTATGGTGGTATAAATTAAGGACATATAGTAAACATATTATGGTGGTATAAATTAAGTGCAGACAGGGAAAATATGAGGGTTGGTTGTTAAAAACAAAATGTTCAGACACCTACTTATACTAGATGGTGGGCCAAATTTAGGAATACATTCAATAACT